AACCTATTCAAAGACTTACCACCAGTCTCTGTAACTGTTGCTGAGAAAAAAAGAAACTTTACCACTTTTTTGAGGGTGGCTCCTAAACGAATACATGGATTTTTTTTTTTGGGTTGGATCCATCGTTCCTCGAAATAGGGGTTGAAATATATTGTGTGATCAAAACTCTCTAAACCTTCCCCATATAGTTTTTATTCGTTGAAGTTTTTAAAAATAAAAGCGACTATAGTTTCGGCGTACTGCCATCATCAGGCGATGTGAAATTTAACAGGAAAACGGTAAGTTACAAACGTTGAAGACGAATAAGACGAACATGTTGTTTTTTTAATTATTAACTGGCCGAAGCCAAGTGAAAAAACCTGAAGGGTGGTTAAACCGGAAAGGTTGTCCTAAGTTTCAAAACGAATTATTATCAAGCCTTGTTAAGAGTAAGACAACCAACCGGAGGGTTGAATTATTACATTAAAAGTTGAAAGTTGAATTTAACACATTTCAAAAGAACCGGGGGGAAAAAATAAACTCATAAAAGTTTTGAAACTATTGAGATGACTACATATTTAAATTATTTAAGTTAAGTTTAAATTCGAGATCATGCAGACGGCATGTCTAGGTAAACCTGGTACCTATCACTAGATAACGACCAGATAACTGACTTTAACAGCCTAAGTACCTGCTGATAATCCTCCTAAGTAAGTTCCGGTATCTACCATTCAATATAATATACCTATGCCGTGTTTGAATTCTCCACCAGCGAGCTACAATACCATCCTAACCATCGTCTAGTGAAATCAAAAAACAAGCCTGAATCTTTGGGACAAAATCATACCGTTGTTACCTACTGCTGATCTTGCAATATACAGCACAGCACAAGAGATACCTAATGTGGAGTAACCCCCAAAATTTACAGGGAAAGGTACCTATTTGTACCTATATATTTCACCAAAGAACTGAGATACATGGAGTTGATGAATTGTTTGAGATTTTACAATGCAACTCGGCGGAATGCATTTGTAAACTAAACGGCCTAAATAGCTAGTTTTGGTATTCGGAGAGAAATTTCTTAGTAAAGTAAAATCTCTTAAGCATCGCTCCTTGTTTAGCGAACGCTGCTGACTATCCTCTCCGTCTCAGTCGCGATTACCGACTCGGCGAGGTCGGTAGGTTTTTACTTAAATGACCGTAACTTTTTTATTATGAAAAATTCACGGTAATGTTATAGAAAATAAAATACTCACAATGCTTTGGAGCATCGAATGAGCTATAAATATTGGAAATCGATATCGTGAAATAAAAAGTTATGAGAGTTCAAAGTGCGCACTTTTCATCTGCTACACGAATTTTGGAAGTTGACAGTCATTTTTCTAAAAACTGTGCATAACAAGGTAGGTAAATTGAATGCTTTAGATTCTGCTATAAATGTACTTTCATTTTACAAAAGGAATTATTGATGTATATCGCTTAGTTACTGAGAAAATAAATACTTTCGGTGGTCTAGTCGCGCGCGCGAAAATGAGTAAAATTCAACTTTAGCGGCCTATAACTTTTATCAGGACCACGGGAAAATGTCGTAAAGCGAGATTCTGAAGGTTCAAACATTTCTGAACAAAATGGTGTGGGTCCCAATTCTTTCTACTCCGAAAAAAAAACTACCTCAAATAAGCGAGTTAGCGCCGGCTCTCCGCTGCACTAATTCACAAACGTGTTCAGAATAAGAAAACGCCTCTCTGATGCAATGGTGAGAGGCGTGTTGATGTATGGAGCGGAGACATGGGGATGGAAGCAATGGGATGAACTAGAAGGACGACAAAGAAGGTATTACAAATAGGTACTGGGAGTACACGGAAGGATGCCAATAGATTATATATTAGAGAAGGAAATAAAAATGGAGAAGATTGAGTCGACGGACGCCAGTAAAATCCGAAAAGAGGAGAGAAAGAGAAAGCGAATTCTTAAAGAATGTTTGTCAACGAGGATGAACACAAAATGAAAATGGTGGAACCGAAGAAAAAATATTATGAAAGAAAAGGATACGGACGGGCAGAGGTTGAAAGGAGGACATAAAATAGGGGAAAGGATGGACGAATCACATACAAAATGGGACCAAGATATACAAGTACAGCAACAGAGAGAGAGAATCGAGAATTCACGAGGAAGAAGAAGGTACAAGGACTTAATTATGGAAACGGTGCCGAAATATCTAAGGGAGAGAAGGAAAAACTACTGGCGAGATTCAGATGCGAAAGCGAGGAGAGAGGAAACGAGAAGTGGAAACAAGAAGAAGAAAGAAACTATGTGGAGAGAGAGAGAGAGGGAAAATTGATTATCTGATGTAGGAATGTAACGGGTAGAAAAAACGAGGGAAATCAGGAAGGAAATACTGGACGAGAGGGAATGAGGAGAAAAATCGATGCAGAAGATAATAGAAAAAAGGGAAGAAATACAACAAATATCAAGTACATTTAGTGTAAACAGTTTTTGCCAAAAGGAGTCAATCTATCTAGGGAGAGATACAATAGTATATTGAAAGACAAGTGTTACAATGCGACCTATTGTAATACGACTATCTTGTGGCACGAGTGGCGACGCGAAGCGTAGCCACGAGTGTCCGCAGGATAGGAGTATTACAATAAAGCATTGTAACACGCGTTTTTCATACTATTTTTTCTATTTCGGTGCTTTAATTTAATTAAAAAAATCATTATCAGAAACTATAGGTAACATTAGAACTAACATGTTTTATGTTGGGAACACTTTTTATGCCGTTAAGTTTTAGGTTGGCAGCGTAGTAAGACTGGCATTTAGAAGTTCAAACATGGAAGTATTGTACCTACTTGTACTAACTATTAACTGCCAACTTAAGAGATGCAGATGAGTTACCAAAAAAAAAACGACTATAATCACTGTCTTTGTACAACTGTTTTCGGCCGAAAACAGTTGTACAAAATCATCATTGTGACACCGAAATAGAAAAAATACTTGTAACGATTTAATAATTCAAATAGTTATCGTACTTGAGCTGTAAACGTACTTCTAAATCCCAAACCCAAAATTTAAGGTACACCATTTTTACGAAAGTGTAGAAGATCCATAAGAGATTATTTTTGTATAATTTTTGCTTCCCGCTACTTTGAAAAAAGGTGCACCGGTACTGTGTAGTATGTTTCAGCCGAAATTGTAAGTAACAAATTATGTGCAACTATGTAACTTTCATGTGAACCATCAACAAAACAGTATTTTCTTATAAATACGAATGAGAACGTTAGGAAAATTGTAGAGAATAATAAACTTGAGAAGATAGGTTCCCACATTTAATCTAAATACAGTGCATGGTTTTCAAGGTAGCTATATTTATCCTGTTTTGTTTACAATTTGTTTGTAATAGAGGAAAATTTTGTCGAAAGAATATGATGTTACATACTCACTTCGCCCGTCTTTTTTTTAGTTAAATCGAATAAACAATTTTACCCAAAATCGTCCTGAAACCTTCATTTTCATGCCTACTTTCTGTCAGGAAATTTTAATTTCCATGACAGATTGGCATTAATCAAAAGTAAAAAATTGAAAAAAGTTCTATATTAAAAAATGACATTACCTGACTCCGAAATTAAAGTACTTGACCCCAAAGGGAACTCGCACTTCAATATTTCCTCGCCAGTAATGTATCATTTTCCTGGCTTTTATGTAAATAAATATTTCTAAAGGAAATTATTGAAAAAATACGTTTCTGGCTTACTGTCATTGACTTTCATTTTTTATATTTTTCAAGGATCCCTAATTTTCCAAAAAGCGTTTTCACGCTGATGCTGATACCTAACTTCCATAGCATATCGTCTTGCTTTTACTATTTTTGTGTTATTTTCGAAACAGAATTCCAAGTTCCACGTAACAAATAGTGATTATAAAGAAATATTTCTTGTGGACCTTTTTCGGTTTTGTATTTTTTGAATAAATGCTGTCTTTCAAACGAAATACGATACTCTGAAAAAATAGTTAATAAATTCGGGTCATTATGAACGTTTGGCGTATAAAAACTGATCAACACGTGGTTTCTCATAATCCGATTAACCAGGTCGGTAGAATTGATTCCACGGAATTGGAATCCGGTTAAATTATCCTGAAGCATTCATTTCTGTGAATTAAATGCGGTGAATTTTCCGTGACTCTTTTAACCAGTAGTACTGGAAATTTCCGAATACAGCAAATTCTCGACATTTTGCATCGTCTTGGAGATATCCAAAAAGTTCGAAATATTACATTAATCCCAGATAAGGAGGATCGTAGCAATATTCGCCTTATTTGTTTCAGAAATTTGATTGAATGAAAATAAATAAAAACTTATCAATTATTTTAAATAATGCATATACATAAGATACGTATGAAGATTACTGTTCTAACTAACGTACATCTATTAATTTACGTTATGCACAATTTAAACGGATTCCCAACCGCATGCATCCTTTTTTCTGTCTAACACTTCTAAACAAGTTCACAATGTGTACCTACTGCCGGTTGTATAAAAGAGAAGATTTAGTTATTCAGTTTATTCAAAGTGCATGCATTTGAATGTATTTTTTATACCTAACTATGAACAAAGAAGAGTTTATTAAACCGTAGAGTATTTTTACTCAGTTTGTTCCTCCAGCCAAGACAATTTAATGTCAAAAGTGTAAAAAAGTGTATATAACGTCATAGATGTTTTTCTGTAAATTAATGTGTTTATCCTCACTTTTTCTGTTCAAACCGTAATTTTTTCATTCTTTCAATTCTTGAGCGAGAGATGCACAAAGCGGAATAAAAATATCAAACAATAACCATCAACATACTTGTTTGTTTATTTTAAGTTAGTAGGTACGTAAAAAAGAAGACGGAATTAAGTTTTAAAGATAATGTTTTTATCTAATTTATCGCAAAGACGGACTAAAAAACAACACTTGTGATCAACGTTCATAAAGTTTATTTTCAGTACATTTGCACTTATCAAAGATCATTATAACGTCACATTTACAGAGAAAAACTTTGTTGATTTGCTAAATAATTTACGAATTATAAAAAGTAGTACATTATTTCAGAAATATTTTTGTAGATACACAGCAGTGATCTCCCTCATTTTGTCCAGTCAGTGTCCAATGTACGTCAAAAATTCCGCTTGGAAATATACGATCAATGAGTAATTGATACGTGTAGGTCTGCTTATTTCCGGAAACAACTGGGCACGGAGATGTTAAACACGCGTTCGTTTCCATATTTGGTAAGAGCTGTCCCAAGTAAGTGGCGGTGCCGGTTAACGTATCCGAATCAAAATCTGCAAGAAAAGTTAACGAACTTTAGATGGGGAAGTGCTGATAGTTCTAAATTGACTGTTGAAATTGACGGTTAGGTGTGTACGCTTCACAAACACAGAAACTCACCTCTTCTATACTAAGTCCAGAGTCTTATGCAGTGCGTCCTGCAATAAAATGTATACATTGCTATAATAACGGGTTTAAAAAGAATATACGTTCGCACCACACCATTTTTTTACCCAAAAAGCGATATCCAAGAAAAGTAAATGTACGAATACTTACGTGGGGTATAATCAATTTCGATCGAGCCAGGTTTTCCCTTCTTAACTTTGCATGGCTTCTTCGCGGCAGCTTCTTTGCATGGATCCATTCTGACCTCGTGTATGGTGCACTTGTCCTTATTCGTTGCTGAAGAATTAACTCTTTTGAAGTTTACGTCTTAATTGTTACTAAAAACACTTACCACAGTTATCGAAGGTAATAATTTCACCCACCACGGCCGAAAATAAAGTCAATACGGCAAAAATAAACACAATTATTTGATTTGACATGGTTACTGTCATTGTAAACTCTGATTTGTTTTTGATACGCCACAATCTTATATATGTACACGGAAATCACGAGCTCATGGATCGGCTAGTGGGGACAAGTTATCAGTACATTTCGAAAACAAATAATGTACTCTAAACACATCAAGTGTTTGTGCATGAATTATTTTACAATTCAGCGTTTACCACCTCGAGCAATCAATTGACTAATATGAATAACAAATGTAAGTACCTACCAACGATATTACGCCAGGACCTCAATTTGCGGTCATTATTCTAAATAACTAAAAAACCGTACATCACCAATTAATTGCAAGGTCATTTTTATCAGGTCATTGATTTCGAGTTATAAGTATTAACATCTACAATTGAATGAGAGCATTTCTGACGCTGGAGTAGACTGATGCCTTCTAATCAACGAAAACATAAGAATAAGTAGGTAATTAGTCCAAACACAATCGTTTTGGATGAATGATCCACCAAGAAGCTTTCAAGTTTTGGATTTTAACTAGGTATCCAGTGTGTTCGAGGAGTTACCTCAATATCTCTTTTACTAGGCGAGATAGAAAAATTTGTCAAATATAATTCGATTGTGACATTACGATCTATCCTATCGGTATCGCATATAGAAACTTCCGGGGTCTCTTCTGATTTAACCGGAAATCGATGCAACTTTTGTTTTTTAAACGCAATGCCTATGCTTTTTTAAGATATTTCAAAACCACAATCAATTTGATAAACTGCAACCTAAAACGTAAAAAATCACAGATCTTAAAAAAATAAAAGTTGCATCGATTTCCGGTTTGGCCGGAAGTGATACCGGAAATTTAAATGTGTCATCGGGTAGATCATGATATCGCGATTTAAATTGGTTTCCAAGTAATGAGTTTAGACAAGGCGGTCACAAAATTCAGATCTTGACTGTTGAGGTCTAATCAGGATAACAAAAGGTAAAGAAATCATCCCTTCCAATGCGCGTATTTTTTTTAATTGTTACCTAAGAACCTTAATGATCTTCAAACAGTAAGTGTTAGTATACGGTTATGGTCACAATGTAGGGGAAATGGTATTTATAAATGTTTAACTCAGGGAAAATGGCAAAAACATCCTATTTTCCTCTGTAATCTATACAAATTCCATTGTCTTTATTTGAATTGTTAATTGTCACAATAACAATTTAATTATAAGTGCTAATCTAACCTTGAACCAAATACGAGACTTTGATATTGGAAAAAATGTAGGTTTAAAGTAAAGTCAATTAAACTTTTAGTTGTAATAGACAAAGGCGACATCTACGTAGGTGCATTGAGTAATTAAATATGAGTAGGTGTCTTCCATCGCAATGGGAGAGAGGGGGGTGAGGGCAAATTATGGTAGGTTTCGCGGAGTTTGTTTGCTTATAAAAGGAAACTGAACCTTCTCAATTTTGCCTTATACAGTATGTTCCGAGATGATATGACTATACCTATAATCGAATGTCCCATTTGGTTTTCCCTAGGGTTTTCCTTTAAATGCAGAGTTTTCAAATAAATTCAAAAAATTCCAATTCCAAAATCGATTGACAATATTTATTTATAATTATAATATATAACATTGTAATCTATTGTTAAAGTCATACGGAATAATAGTTATTTATTATACAAGATGATTAAGGGATGTTTTCCCTTTATCGTCGCGTATAATACAAAACTATATTTTATAACAGAAGTCATAACTCATTGTTAAACTTATACCGTCATTTCCATGGAAACAATATTGTATTCTATGCTGAATTTCATTTTATTTCGTGCGCCGAGTTCCATTTTTAACAAGAATGGCAGATGTCCTTAGAATGCACAATGATTTGTTTCACTTTATCACTTCACTTTACTACCCTTGTCCTTAGAGTGATCACTTTATCGTTTAACGTATTTCCAATGTGAGTGTGTGAATATTTATTTTATTTTTATTTTTCTTTAGAACCCTACATAACTTCACCAGACACAGACACAGACACTAATCGTTACTTGATTTTAATCCGTGCGATTAGTTAACCAGGCTAGACCTGAGTTCTCACAAGAAACACCGACAATAATAATAATCCATCTTTATTCTTTTGAATGGTTTCCCATTATAGAACATGTCAATGTTTGATCTACATTCTAGCTTAACTAATAACTAATTGTACATTTTTTTTTTTTTTTTTTAAATTTTTAATTAGAAAGCTTAAACGGAAAGCTTAAGGTTGAAGAACTCGTTAAATGAATATAAAGGCAATGCGTGAAAGTATGATTTTAATCTTTTTTTGTATAAGTTCATATCTTCGTTTTTCTTCAATCTCAAGCTATCCGGTATGTGATTAAATATTTGGCTACATATGTACATAGGGTTTTTTTCAAAATGAGCAGTGCGATGACATGGTGTGCTGAGTTTTTCAGCGTACCTTGTTGACATACCTTTATTGAAATGCGAATTTTTCTTAAACGTATGTAAATTTGTATAAGTGTGCAGTATACACTTGTATATGAATGCCGAAAAAACTGTCATAATTTTATGTCTAATAAATAACGGTTTGCAATGCTCAATACTACTAGCGAATGATATTCTTCTTAAAATTTGTTTCTGTAGGAGCAAGATTCGCTGACAATCCGAAGCCATGCCCCAGATAATTAGACCGTTAATGTGGAAAAACGCTTTTTGTGATTACTAATTCTAACTTGTTATATTTTGCAGCTACTACCTACAAACTGTTTTAATTTTGAAGTAAATTCAAAACTTTCAACCATTTTGTCGTGAAGTTCCACGATCTTACTCAAGCTTTTTCAGCATTCTCAATCCAAGGTTCTCCAATCAAGGTAAGATTAGGAAAACATTCCACTTTCTCTGCGATCTCGACAAATTTAAGTACTCTATTGTTACCACTAATCTACACAATAACAATTTAATTTTAGGCGCTAATCTGTGATGTCTCAATGAATCAAGTGAGACATACAATGCGGATAGACATTGAAAAAATGTAGCACATATAGTCATAGATCATTGATCAATACGTATACCTATTTATGTGTCAGACCATAATCACAGTGTTTACTCAAAAATGTGTAACGAAAATAGGTAGAATTAGACTACTGCTACCGAAGAGAAGCCCGTATAAAGGTTAAAAGCGATTTTTTCCGTTACCGATGAGTATGTTATATGAAAAATGACTATTCCAAAAAATCACGTTCCCGGTTCTCATCATATGTAACCGTTTCTAAAAATTGGTTTCTCTTTGCTTTTTACAGTAGGGTAGAATTTGAATTTGACAGTGTAGCTTAAAGGTTAAATAAAAATATATTATAAAAATGAGAGATACCAGAAAAGTTTAATGCCAAAATTCTTCGCCGAAAAAGATCAATGCTGTAATAAAGAAGACTGGCTTCGTCTTCATCGTCAACATCATAAAACCGCCCAGTGACAAATGAACAATTTGATAATCCCGCGTTTTTTGCACACACCAGCGACGTATTATTAACCAGCTGGAATTTGTATTTGTGGAGATATTTGGACCAAAAAGATAGTCAAGGACGAATCAGTCCGGCAGTAACAGTAATAAAGGTACCTACCTATTATTTTTCTTTACGTTCTGCATACGAAGATTTTAACGCGTTTATATTCGTGCGTCATCTTTCTCTATAAACTTTTAATTTTGGAATTTGCTTATATACACAGAATCATTGCATTGCTTGGATAGGGTTAATTTGCTATAGGGGTATTTTTGTATGATTTAGTAGGAATGAGGTTTCTTTTTTCTTTTTAGCGTGGTAATAATAAATTGCTTTATTTCAATGTTTAAATCAATAGTTGTATTCATATTGATAATATTGTGGAATTTGTCTCCCACTTATAAGTTTTTTAGTGAAGGAGTAAAAAGAGTTTTTGGATCAAAAAGAGGCTTAATGCGAATTACATAAACTCTCCAAAACGTTTTATTTTTCCTAATTGTGATTACAAATTATTGACACTGAATCAGTGAAATACTAAATTTTTTCCTCTTTAAACTATTTTGCCTGAGTTCGCTGGAAGTAAAAGTACAAAGAGGTAAGTTCCAAAACTACTTCAACATAAAAAGAAATTATAAGAAGAAATTTACACCACGAACACTTTGCAAGATACTATTACAAATTGATATCTTTCCGAACAACCCATTAATTTGTAACCGTTCGTCAGGAAATAAATTCTTTGCTTCATTCTGCATAGTTTTATGATGGAGCCATTATCGAAACTAATTTTTTCAGTCTATAAACATCTCGGAAGTTCGGAGACGCGGCAAACTGTTAGAGTTTCAAATTTTAGTAAAATGTTTCTAAGGTGATGTGTTTATAAACAAGTGTTGTTAATATATTTAATTATAATTGACGTGTAATATTTGCTACGATATATTTCATCTTAATATTTGTTCTGCTGAGACTTCCAGTACTTTATTTATAACTCCACTAACTCTAATAGGTTATGTGCCCAGACGAACGATAAATTAGTTGTTGGAAGTCTTACGAGATTGAAGATCATTAAAAATAGAATAACTGTCAAAAAACGTAAGGTGACGTACTTACTCTCGAACTGTCGATCTGTTTTAGTCTCCTAGTCTCGTGGTTATTCGATTAGAAATCAATAAATGGCTGGCGCTAACATCCTTAATGCTACCCGAATCGAATTACTCAACAGAAGTAATTATGATACATGGAACATTCAAGTCGAAGCGTTACTTGTGAAAGCAGATTTGTGGGAATATGTATCCGGTATCCGTCTGAAGCCAGAAGTTGAACCAGATACGCAGAACACCGTTAATCAACAGCAGTTACAAAACGCATGGATTATACAAGATCGTAAAGCGAAGTCAGAGCTCATACTATCAATTTCACCATCCGAGCTGAAGCAAATACGTGGATGCGAAACTTCGAACGATGTATGGATGAAATTACAAAGTATTTACGCATCAAAAGGACCAGCTCGAAAAGCAAATTTACTTAAGCAATTAATTACTCAAAAACTATCCGATGGAAATGATGTGAGGGAACATTTATCGCGTTTCTTTGATACAGTTGATAAACTCAACG